ACGTGTTCAACACTTATTTTGCCCGCTGTAAAAACAGGATTTTAATAACAGCTAAAGGTGACATAGATACTTTATTATGGTATAGTATTTAAATATATGCCTGAGAAACACATAATTTTGGCCCTTTAATATGAGCACCCATGAGCCTGAAAGGAAGCAGCAGGTTAAGATAATAGTAATTATGACAGAGTGAGGTTGAAATGGGTAAAAGAAGCATAATGAATATCGTTACCATGGTCTTATTTATTTGATTTGATACCAATGTTTATCAACCAAAAAGTTGGGGGCACAGGTCTTTGCTTGCTGTTATTTTGTGGGTCAAAAGCTGAAAAGTTTGAGAACCATTACATACAGCATTTTTTAGCAAAAGCAAACATCACAACACATTTTCAGCGTTAAATGTTAAAACATCATCAACATTTAGACTTTATTCAATTCATTTGACTTTAAAAAGAGAATCTCTCATGCAAAGAAACATAAAGAGCCAAACTGTTCACACTTTAATTTATTGATCTGCTTGAGTGACCACAGATGAACAGTGTAGTTGTAAGCAATGACAAAGCAGATTAAAAGTTTCTCTGTGGCATTTGGTCTCAGTCATAATAATATAGTTACAAGTGACTGAGGGTGAAGAAACAATAAGGTACACAGGCATATTTACAAGCTTTCCTTCCACAACACAAGTCTGAAACCCTCAACACGCTCCTCACGCCATAAAGGATAACAGACCATCATTTTTTTTAAAGAGCTGACATCTGTTTTTGTGTCATCTAGTAATCCCAACGTGATTTGTTTCATTTAGCCAAAGTTAAAGTACAAATTCACCATTAGTGTAAATCTCCAAAAGGGTTGGAATAATCTCTTATATTGATAAAATTAAAAACAATCCAGTCTAAAACATATTAGCCCTAACAGGGGACAGCAATCAGTGTCATTCATGTACGAAACAATTTCAAATATGTAAGTGAAAGCAAAAGGAAATGAGGGTGGACATGTTGACAAACTTTTGGTCTTTTTTTTCATCTCAACTTTCTAACATCCCACTTAGTGAAAAAAGGCTGAGGCAGAAGTTGAGAGCAAAAGAGGAACTTTCAGAAAGGACAATGCTACACCCCACACCCCTTCCATCTGTGCTCTCTAACCAAATATCAATGTCCAAATTCTAGTCTGTTCTGGACTGAACCTCCGCCATCGTTTATTTCGAAATCTTCTTCATCCTCTGATCGAGTGCTGCGAAGTTCTCTTCAATAGCCACCAGATTTTCCTTCATCGTCTGCTGGACCTGGTGAGGGGAGAGAAGAAAACAAAAAGATTCAATAAAACAGTGTGAAGGGATTGCTGTGTTTCTTTTAAAACTTGATGTAAACTTTGTACCTGTGTTAGCAGAGTGGTGTTGTCTTTCAGAGAGTTATTGATCATCTGCTGAGTTGTGTCCAGGTGAGTCAACAGTTGGCCAAACTGCATGGCTGACACACAAACGAGAGAAAAGTTTAAGAACAGATAGGAGACACTGGTTCCCCCATTTAATCACTGCAAAAGGGAACCAAATCTTAGGCAAAACTTATAAATGACTGCTTAGAAGATTAAACAAGAGATTGCATTTTAGTCTTTAATAGTAAAAGGAAAATAATTTGTCTAAATCCAGAGCGAAGAAAACTTTTGCTTTAAACTGTGAAGCAGAAAAATAAGTGATCTTTTTTCAGCTCCCAGAGAACCAATATCAGTTTAATCTATTGATGTCAAAGTTTTGCTTTCATGGGCTCAAAAAGGAATAAAATGTAATATAAAATATCACTTCTTCATCTCATAAAGAGGATGTTAAAGTTTTACAAGTTTCGGTCTAATTCTGTTACAGTGTCAACATTTGCCTCAGAGATTATTCTGCCCTCTCCCATTTAAAAAGGACATGGATTAGTCTAATTCCATTATCTGTTTGAATCCCATTCTCCTTTACTTTTTAATCTTTTGTCTCCTCAAAAAGTCCCATTGTGTTGCAAATCCTTAAAACCAAGCATTACATCCCAGATGCAGCCTGAAACGTGATCTGAGTTTACACCCTGTTTTGATCTGTGGCAAATTCTTGCATATTTAGTCTCTGAGACATGCTTTTGTTCTCTACTAACCTACATAAGTCTCTCCTTGAAATCCCACGGGTGTTGTTTCAAGGTTTTTCTCTCCTCACATGAAATATTGGAACACAGGGCAATAATAAATTCACAGCTATTGGCCTTATTAGAGTGAAATCTCCCCAGCTGCAATGTAGTTAAAATATTCATAATTTAAATTAGAACCTAACAAAACTACGTGTATTTGATGTTATAAGATTAAAGACACTCCTTCTCCTTAAACACTCAATGTCGTTGTTTTAAAGGCTTGCTGTATGTCTGACTGCCAGCCTGTCGGTCACTTCCTGTGCCTTACCTTGCTCGTGCAGCTCCTTCACAGCAACGAGCCTCTGCACCACCTGAGGTATAGAGGTGGACACAGCATCCCACTTCTGCACCACGTCGTACAGCTGCGACACCTGACGGGGACGAGCACAGACCAACACAATTTACACACATCTGTCTGGGAACAGCTTAGAGGATTTTCGGCAAATTTCCACAATTTTTGTGCCGTCTCAACACTTTCCATATGAAAACGTCCAGCTCGTTTAGGTCACGTCTATGGCTTTTGCTTACTCAGCAATGTATACTTTTTGAAATATTTAGCTTTTTCTGCCACTCACTGAAAATGAATGGAGCCGTTTTCATCATCCTTAAAACCTTTCAAAATGTTCATAAATAATTACAGCACTTTTTACCTTTGGTTCTAGTTCTCTTTTTTTACACTAAATTCATTTTTTTCAGCTTCTATTTAGCTGATTTTAGCTATTTTAGCTATCATTTTGACCTTTTATGCTATTCTACAGCTATTATAAACTTTTTGTGCTTCTTTCACCTGTTTTCTGTGGTTTTAGCTACTTTAATTTGAGTTTTTTTCAGCTGAATACATCTTTTTGTGCTAATTCCAGCTGCTTTTAAAGCTATTTTAGGCTATTTTAAGCATTTTTAGCTATTTAGCAAAAGTCTTCCAGCATGAAGCATTCACACTGCATTTTTCTGCAGGAAATGCAAATTCTCTAGTTTTGTTTTAGCATCATCATCTACAGAGTTTAAATTAAAACTTGGACAGAATTCCCTTCTGTTTTGTATAGGAGCCACTAATTGTAACTTCAGCTACAAGTCTTATATTCTTCTGTCTGAACTAAATACAGTAACTCTGTCTCACAGGTGTTTCACCTTTTTCAGCTACAATGTAATGTAGCTGCATGACAATATTACAGTAATTATCTTGGACTTAATAAAGCACCATTCATGTAAAAGCATTCCCTGATCACCTGAAACTACATAAATCTCAAATTTAGATTAATAAAAACGATCAAATTAAGCTATTTAAAGAATTAAATCTCAGTTACCTCACTTTGTGCCCCCTGCTTGGAAAAATTAAAGCAGAACAAGAAAGCTGATAGTAAAAAAATGAACCTTTGAGTTGAGATAAAACTAAAAAATATACTTCTGTTGTACATAGGTTTCTTTTCGTCCCTTTTTTCTCGATTTCATGTAATGCTGCCCGTGATAAATTATGAAATCACACCATCAGTCCATACAAACACTTTGATAATTTAAGATCTGTTTAACTTTGTACACTGAAACAATTTTTATAATGCAAGTTACTTTTTACGAGTTAACACAATTTCAATGCTGAACACGCTGTTCAAACTGACTGGAGATTCTGGTTTGATATATTTTAAACCATCTGTTTATTCAGCTTAAATGACAGGATAAAAGAACACACATACTTGGAAACAGCTGTTCCATTACAGTTGGCTGTTGTATTTTATAGCTACACACAAAGTCCCTGCATAAAAATGACTTTTCTTTATATAATCTCACATTAAATCATCCCTGTGCAATTCACTAATTCTTGTTTTAAAAAGGGAACAAATTTATCTGGAAAGGGAAATACACATCTCCACAAGAAAAAACTGTACAAAACTGTTAGTGTTCATTGAAAAATAAATTACTACAATATCGAAAACAATTATACAATGAGCATAGGCTGCCCTCTACTGGGCTTTTAAATGTAAATCACTTTAGAACTGAATAATAAAGTGGTTGAAAAATACAGCCATTTGACTGATTAAAAACATAAATCCTTTGCTGTCACAGATCTGGTGATCGTCTTCCTTCTCTAAGCTGGAGGAAACCCTGACAGCAGCTTAAGTCTTGGTTGATTCATGAGGTTTGGCTGAAGTCTGTAAAGTTGCAGACTTTAAGCCAGTGTAAAAACAGCTAATGTGCTTCCATCACCTTAATTGTCTGGAGACTGAGGGGTTTTAATGCACCGAATACATTTGTAACCCAACTACACCCTGAATTTACTTAGCACCGATGTGTGCGTGGAGAATACTGACCTTGTTTTGTGTTTCAGCATCTTCAATCGCTGCCTTGTGTTTTGCAATCTCATTCATCTTCCCAAGGACGCTCTGGAAGAGCAAGATGAATAATATATGCAAGGTAAGGAGGAGGAAAAAAAACAACAAGCAAATTGACAATTGTTTTCATAAAAACCAAGCAATGTTTCTTTTACCATCATATGTCATAATTACCCAAAATTCAGTTTCATAGTAAACCTTAATTTTATATAATTAGTCTGATAAAAAAAATGGATTCTTAAACACAGAAGTGCTGGTCTATTGAAATGTATGTTCATATGTGACCCATCACATTGAAATGAGGATTAAGTCTAAAAGTTGTATGTGGAGAAATAGACAGATATAGTGTTTTGATTAAAATGCTTGCAAAAAGTACATTTTCTCAAAATATAACAAAGAAATGTGTTATCAATATATCATTTCAATGAACTGAAATATTATACTAAAAATTTTTTGAAGCATTTTTTTGAGCATTAGCAACCAAAAACCCGATTTTGAGGAAAAACGCCTTAAAATGTTGAGATTTTCACTGTAAGCTATCAACGCTTATGTTTCTTTCCAGATGGGAAATCTCAATATTCAATTATTACTACTTGAGGTTTCTTTTTTCAAATGACATAAAAAAATCCTCATTAAAATTACATAAAATTATGATTTAGACCAAATATTTATGTATTATTGTAACCAACAAGACAAATTAAATAATATCTCTGGATCTACTAACGATATCAAGATGATCTAAGTATCAAAACGTAGCTTTTAAAGCCAGGAATCTGAAAATATGACTAGGTCATTTTGATCAAATTTGACTTAATCCTCATTTCTAATGACTTTAATCCTCATTTCATTTACCTAATTTCCCTCTGGGATCAATAAAGTATTTTTGAATTTGAATTGAATTGAACTGAATTGAATTTCGATGTGATACATATATTGTACAGTATGAACTAAATACTTGGTAGAGGCTCCTTTTGCATTAATTACTACATCAACGTGGTGTGACATGGAGGCGATCGGCCTGTGGCACTGTGAAAACGGCATTTCTTGAAATCTGTGCTGTTTTTTGGGAGTAGTTACCTGCAGTCTTGCCTCCACTTGATCCAGAGTAGCAGAGTCCAGAGCGCTGACCCTCGCCTGCATGAGCTCAATAGTATCCTGATAAGAAAAACAAACAAACAAAAAGTTTACAAATCTGTTTTCTTCTTGCTTCTACTACAAACAAGAACTTGTGATTGTTAAACCTGTGACTGACCCATTTTTCTGCAGGCTAACTGACAAAACAGATCAAACTCTTAACAGCTTTAGAAAAAAAAATATTGTAGATTTCTCACCATCAAACTGACTCCTTGAACACCAGCATTCAAAGGTCCCTACAATACAAACATAGAAGAAAAAGAAAAAAAAATAAAGCCTTCCCCATAAATTACATAGCAATGTTAAAATGTTTAATTACAGTTTCACTTAGTAACAGCAGCAACGGAATAAAAACAGTAGAGGGGGAAACAGATATATCTTCTAGGAAAGGTAAACAAAGCATTTTGGAGACAGTGTGTGTAAAGTCTGAGTAACTCAGTGTACCTGCTTGTCTGATCCTGAGCCAACAGCCATCTCTAACTGAGCCAGACGCTTCTCCAGTTCTGCCATCTGCAGGGATGAAGCAAGGCAGTGAAAACTCACACATACCTTTTCTCTTTTCTATCCTGTTTATTGCCTTTAAATAGTGTCAGACATTTGTCTATAAGAATATACGTGGAAACGCCAGGGAACTCGTATGAATGTAACATCCAGACACTTGCCCCCGCTGTCTCAATTTCCACTTTACCTTGGCAAACTCGTTGAATTTTTCCTGCTCTGGTCTGCTGTGTAACTCGTACAGCACCACTCCATCTGGACCTTTTGTCGAAGAAGTGGGTTTGGCATCTCCTGCAGAGCTGCCGCGGCTGCTCTTAGCCGCCTCCAGCTGGGTGAGCAGACGCCTGCAGGAAGAAGGGAGAGGAAGACCCTAAATAATAATACAGTACATTCAACATAGTTTTCTGCCTGATGTTCTTCTAGTGCCTGGTTACTTTTTTACTCAGTTTATTTAGGAATTGTTTAAATTTTAAAAGTAAAGGTGAGCTTTAAAATGAGATTACACTTTTATTATTTTGTTGTTGTTGTGTTGTATGGAAAATTTAATGAAAAAATGTAATAACTGCTGACAAATTTAAAGAGTGGTTTTGCTTAAAATGACTGCATAAGTCAGCATTTCACTACAATAATGGACCAAATTTGCTTCAAACCAATAAATCAAAACACGTCTCATTTGCGTATCCTGTTCTGCTCAGTTTAAAACATTTACTTCCAATATATCTGACATTTCTGTTAAAATACCGTCTTGTCCTGTCAGGATTAACTCACCTGGCAAGTGCTCCATCTGGATCGGCCAGGTTGATGTGAGCCTGTGGTCCCAGCAGTGAATCGAGATGAGCGGACACCAGCTGCTGTTTGAGCTGCGCTGCCTGCTGTGCCAGAACCACCGGAGTGAGGCGCTCCTCTGAAGTACTTTCTTTTGCAGCAGACTGGAAAGTAAAATTAGACCCAAAATTACTGGAACTGCCACAATTCTCCTTTAAAAGGGATCCCTGATTAGTTGTAATATTAGACTTTATTTGATAAACATATATTTTAACTGTAAAACAAAGACTGTAAAAATACTGTAGGCTGTTTAGTTTTGTAATTAAAAATATATATATTTTAACACGGACGGAGCCATTTTATTTACACACAAAGCATTCTGGGTAAATGATGACGTGGATAGGTCCTCGGTGTGAGCGAGCTATATCCACCCTGAAGGTTAATCTTGGACAATATCTGATGATTGACTCTTTTAAATGAAACCAGAGAGCGTTGACAGAGAGGAGAAGGTAGAAATGACTCAGCCTGGAACTGAAAATATAGATGGAGGACAACAGAGCTGCTTCATGGAAGAACTTCAGCTTAGCCTGTTAGCCTTTGCGCTAGTGCCGAGGCTATATTGCCTTATATGAATTAGCTCAGCGCTAGCGCGACAAACAAGCTAAACCGAACTAATACATATGGTGATCGCGTCGGGGCTAAAGCTAACAGGCTAAGCTGATGTTCTTCCTTGAAGCAGCTCTGTTGTCCTCCATCTATATTTTCAGTTCCAGGCTGAGTCATTTCTACCTTCTCCTCTCTGTCATCTCTCTCTGGTTTCATTTAAAAGAGTCGATCATCAGATATTGTCCAAGATTAACCTTTAGGGTGGATATAGCTCGCTGGCAGCCTCGCACCGAGGACCTATCCACGTCATCATTTACCCAGAATGCTTTGTGTGTAAATAAAATGGCCCCGTCCGTGTAATATATTTTTAAACTTTTATTTTAAAATTGATAAAAACTAAACAGCCTACAGTATTTTTACAGTCTTTATTTTACAGTTAAAATAAATCTTCATCAAATAAAGTCTAATGTTACAACTAATCGGGGATCCCTTTAAAAACAAACATACAACTGCAGGGTTCGTTTTATGGAACATTTAACCACAATCAGATATAATTTTCCAAATAATAACAGGAACAACATGAACTTTTAGTGTGTTCAGTCCTGGAAATACTGAACTTCTCTTTAGCAAAATTTGCCCTAATAGAGGAGGCCAGTTGAGGAATGTCATTTGCTTTTAGGATGCATTTTATGACTTTTTTAAATTACTGATGCTGAGAAGCTGGCTTGCCCATCTGCAGACTTACTGTATATTATGCCAATATGATCAGCATGACCTCAAAGCAAAGGACGCCCCAAAAAAAATAAAAAGGCCAGAACACAGTCTGAATTGTAATTCGATGATGGAAGGACAAAGATAACACTGCTGCTTGTGAAACAAATTTAATGACAAGTAAAGGTTAATTAGTGTCTTTTAGATGGGGAGTTTGCTAGTCTGAGATGGAGCTCAATTAGTTTTGATCAATTTAAGAGAAAATAAAGCTTCGGTGACAGAACGAGGCAGAACTGTGGGTTGGGCTGTCAGGTTGCAGTTTCAACTGGCTAAATATGTTTTAAAGACTGCTCCCTCCAGGGTTCCTACAGACCCTTAAAAAGTCTTAAAAAAGGCCTTGAATTCAGCAATCCAAAAATAAGGCCTTAATTAGCCTTAAAATGTTTTAAATTAATCTTTCAGATGTCTTAAAATTTTTAACACATTGTGAATAGGATGGTTGTAATTCATCTCAAATATTAAAATAATTGGTAAAAAATTGTTTTTATTATTTACATGCAGACATTCCCCTTTGACATCACTTCCTGTTATTTCACATGCAAATATCTCATTGTTCATCTGAGCAATGTGAAATTCGTTTTGTAATATATTAATGTTGTCTTTCCAAAAATGCATTCACTTTTCTTACTAACCTTTGATGTCACAGTCACTTTAAAGTTTCATCTACAGCAAATTAGGGTTAAGACCCCACTGTGGGTCCTAAAACTCTAAATTTTGGGTCATTAGAGGATTTACAGAAATTAAATTAAGTTTAAAACTGACTGCTAAGAAAGTTTCTGCTATAGTTAGATATGGATCAAAACAATTGGTCTATTAGCAATATTTGAATACTTCAACCAAAAATACTTTGAGTTTCTGCCAGTTTTTATTTTTGTCATTTGTGTTTATTATGAAATTGGTCTTAAATGTAATTTCACTTGGCATTAAAAAGTCTTAAATTTAACTTGCTTTAAACTGTAGGAACCCTGTCTCTCTTTCCCACACGATTACAAGGTCTAAAAACGCCCTCAATAAGATTTAAGACCAGATGAAGAATGATTATGCCAGTCCCTCCAAATTATTTCGCCTGTTACCTACCTGGATGGTGTCCACATCCTGAATGAGTTCTTGGATCTCATTAACCAGGCGCTGATACTTCTGCTGAGGCGTCTCCTTCACTTCACAGCCTTCTCCAAGCTTAAAGGAAAAATGTATCACCATTAAACACAACAATTTCTTCCTTTTTTCACTTTACTGGAAAACACAGTGAATGAAATAAAGTGTGAGATGTAGGGCTGGGCGATGTAAACAAAAAAATAATCTCAATTTATTTTTCATTTGCCGATATCAATAATCTGATATCTTTCTTTCTGTCTTAAAAAACACATTCTGTCAAACTCTGCTTGCTTACTAGGTCATTTATGGATAAGATAAACTACAATAACGTTTGAAACACGGTCTCCTAGAGAACACAGTGATGTTCTCCAGGATGACGAGGAGCGGGTAAACGTTTATGTTCATCAGTGAACAAATCTGACTCACAGCATGCACGCACTGCCGTGCACTCCCGTGGGAGCGGTCTCACCTCTGTTCGGGCTCAGTTTGCGCTTTGGGTAGCGTGAAGTGTGTGCATCCTCGCCAGCGATGGAGGTGTTTAAACTTGGCGCTTAGGTTATTGTAGTATTCTCCATGTGGCAGAATACTTTATAACTTGTGAAATGTTGTAGAATAGGAGAGCAAAATCATGACTAACTAACAAACTGTTTGAATGTTGAATGTCGCGCGCAGCCTTTGCACGAGGAGCTTGGTCACACATGCAAAGTTGGACCTACCTGTCCTGTCCTCTCCTCTCAGTCTGTTAAAATAATGTGGACTGCAGCATGTGTGCATTTGTTTCCATGTGTCTTTACTCAAACAATATCCATTAGCTTGGAGAAACTTTTTTCTATTAACGTTTCTCTAAGCTAACGGCTAATGGTGATCTGTAATCTAACATACACAAGCAATTGTTTGTTTATTTTCTCTTTTTATACTGCATTTGTTTAATGTATGTAGCATACTAGCATGCTTATCCAATCTAACTGCTAATGTTGCTAGTTGCTATATGTAAAAAAAACGGGGCTTCCTGTCAACCCCTCTCATTATTAAACAGACAGGAGGAGATAGAGAAATTAATGTTTATATTGTTTTTTATTTATTTATTTGTTAAGTTGGTAGTTTCTTATTTATATTTTTATTGTAGTTATAGAGAGCTTTCAGGTTTTATGTTGGCATTTATGGATCTTCCTTTATCTTCATTTACTAGTTTTATTTTATTTAATCTATTAGCTTTTTAATTAGAATATTTAGGGTTATATTTTCTTTCACATATATAAATTACAATATATAAAAGATGTTAAAAATATAGGATACAGAACTTTCAGTTTTTATGGCATTTCTGGCTTTTGATTTAATTATGTAGCTGCTAATTGTAAATAAGGTATATTAATTTTATCTTCGATTACATTTAAGTGGATATTTCATTTAAATATTTTAAAATCTACAGTATTTAAAATATTTTAGTAGCTTTTTGGTTTTTATTTAGTATTTCCCACTTATATCTAGTTTTCATTGACTCAAGATTTACAAACCTACTGCTCACAGCAGGTTTCACTCCAGACAGTGAGGGGCAGCGGTGGTCTTTATTGTTGGTGAGCTCAACTGTACTGAGAACTGAATGAATCAGTTAATGAAGTGATTTGATTCCGTTTGTTCACTCAAATGAACAAATCTTTTGAATGAATCACTTGTGAACGACACAACACTAAATGAATACTTGATTATGTAAAACTGCATATCTTCAAAACAACATGGACGATAATATCGTCTGCGATATATTTCGCCCACCTCTAGTGTGATGGTATTAAAAATGAATTACATTCGGAGAGAATTCAAACAAAATGTACTCACAATTTCAAATTCTCCTGACTCGTAACCCGTTCTTCTGTTTCTACTTATTCTGTCTGAGAAGTCTGTGGAGAAGAGATAACACTTTTAAAACCGAAAATCAGAAAATAAATGCTGACTAGTAGTGATATGGATGTTCATCTACAAGTAACAAGAGAAAAGGTATATACATTTTAGAATTAGTTTCAACATGGTTTTACAAATTCCAGTGAACTGTTTGTACCTATTTATATCGAAGGCAATACTATACCTCTGCATGACATCTACTTTAAATATACAAAAGCATAAAGCAGGCACGATCAAAATCTTTAAAATGCAGCCACAAAATTATTTTCATTTTCATTCATAGTTATATTTATACAGTATAAACACTGAACATTAGGTAAAAATGCTCTAACAGCTTCAGAACCCAGTAGAAACTGACCAAGTCCCTTGGTGTTGACGTGTTTGTCTTTGAATTTGTCATAAGCTGCGTTGGGGTTGACCACAATCCTCTCCACACTGTCACTGCAAAGCTCCTCCTGTTATAGAAAGTAATTAATAAATAGATTAATAATATATCAAAAATAATTAAAAACAAAAGCCAACTGAAAAAAAAAACATCTCAAAACCCAAAATATACACTTCAAATATAGACAAGCTAGTAAGACAGGAAAACTGATGTTTGATCAATGTCACCAAGATTAAGAGAAAAATTAAGTGCATTAAAGCATATTAAGGTCAGATGTAACCAGAAATAAAGTGACTGATGTTATAAATTATTAAAATGTGCAAGAGCTTCCCAATCATCGCTTGAGTCAGTTTTTAGAAAGAACCAAATTATTTAAACTTATTTATAAAAGGGGAAAATGAATGTGAACAATTGACCTCATATTAACCATTAAAACAATGTTTGATTTTTTTTGTTTGTTTGTTTTAGACCAATCAAGTATGGTAAAATAATGTTAACTTAATGAATATGACAGAATCTGAGCTGAAGGTCACCTATGGCAACTCTAATGTAAGAAGCACAAAATAACACGGACCATTAGATCAAAGGTTCCTAGAGAAGGTGAACTAAACTATTAACGAGATTAAAACACCACTGACACAAACAAACAACACGCATACGCTCATGAATTCGGATAAGAAGAGGCACGAAACACAAAGACGTCTACAGATGTCAGGAGGAGGAGGAAGAGGAGGAGAGTTAGCTAGGCTCTTACCAGCTCCTTGGGTTTCCAAAGAGAGTTAAAGAAAAACAACAGCAGAGCAAAAGGGAGAGAAAAAAAGTAGGGGGGAGAGAGAGAGAGAGACAACACAGATTAATGTGGTTATCACATGCCATGCACACAACAGGAACACTTGACCGGGGTTGGAGGAAGATAAGAAAAAAAGAAGTGTATTCAGGGCTGCAGCTACAAACCCCGGAGACACATTAAACAGTTTCCAGTTCTTTCCTTCTTCGCCCATTCAGGGCTGTAAGATGGTTCAGTAACACCACAACAAGTCTCTCTCTTTGGATGTCACATTCTAGCTCCTCATAAAGAAGTCTGTGTTTTTAAAAAGTGATTACGGAGACAGAATAATGTGGATCAAGCGAGTCAGAAAGAAGTTAGTACACAAATAAGTTTAAGACATTAATAAGTAATTGAGTTGAAGTTTATTCCTGGTAAAATAAAACACATTTTAAATAATTATTTTTGACCTAAAGCAATAAATGACTGGTATACAAGTAAAACTCTTGTACAGTGAGTTAATTTAGACAGCCACAAACTAATCAATGCTTATTTAAACTACTATCCAAGTATGCCAACAATGAAGAAATAGGACCAACGTAAATATGACTGCTGCAGTAAAAACAGCCACTGACAAAGAGACAAATACATATTGAGCCAATGTATTAATCTGCTGAATGATGGAACATCGGCCAATAAAACAATATGAAAAGTATTAGGGCATACCCCAAAAAATAAACAAAAATGAACTTGTGGAAAAATGGCAAAGCAACTGACAGAAACATCAGTGCCATATAGCTAAAGCTTATTTTAGGGGAAAAGGAGGATAAATGGCACAGGCTGTGTGCAACAATACATGTACCCATATCGAACTGTACCGAATTTATGGAAAATGCCTAAAAATGTACAATTTGAAGACCATTCTGTCTTGTGAAAATTATTTTATTCAGCTTGCAAAAGGTGACATGCAATGACTAAGCATAATATTATATTAGTAAATGCTAGGGTTGGGAAATATTGGCAAAAAGGTACTTGCAATTAATTGTGATTTGATAACGATTAATATGAAGATTAATGGATGACAAGAAACTTTTGCATGTTTTTCACACTAAATCAGTTCTCACGTCTTTGCAAATTTGCAAGAACTAATTGTTGACAGTTTTTCCTGACGACTAAGTGCACATGATATGATTTTGCCCAGCCCTAGTAATGACATAGTTGTTAAAACATAAGGAACGTTAAAACAGGAAATGCCCAAGTTAAGACCCTTTTCTACAGTTCTGTCAGAGCGTCACACACAGATGCACACAAAAAGACCCATCAACATCATTAAAGCCTTAAAAAGCTGAAATGAGGAATATAAATAGAAAGTGGGTATTCAATTCCTAGCACATCAAAAACAATAACATATTAATATACAACAAAAAAGACCACACCAGCAAACTGGTTTTCAATTCATCCCAGTCAATTGATTTGGAAAAAAAAAATCACGAGATTATGAGAAAAATCAAGAGATTAAAAACAATACATGCATTTTTCTTTTTAAGAAAAATATGGATCAAGTCTTACTTGTACAAACTAGGGTCCCGGAAGGGGTAAAAACAGGGACAAGGGGATGGGAAGAATAAATGTGAAAACATGCAAGTCAGGGTTTACTCAGCTGGTCAGCAAACAACAGAGATATGATGGAAAGGCCAGACCAGCACCCCTCTTAACTACATTTTGGTTGTTTAGGAGAGGCACTAAAGAGATGCTTTTAAACTGAAAACTGTAATAAGAAAACAACAAGATACATTTCTGTAGGTCAAAACATTAAAAGAATGGAATTAAACTAGTGGATTGTCTTGTAAAGCTTATAAATATTTTAATTTGATGTTTGATAATTGATCTCTGTTTATGCTTAAGTT